AGCCAAGTTTGTAGATGACAAAAAAAAAGGTAGGAAGGCAAGACTGCAAAAAATCTGCAGAGGCATACAGATAGATTAAGTAATTGGGCAAGAACTTGGCAAATTGAATATAGTGTGGGAAAATGCAAGGTTATGCATTTTGGCAGCAGGAAAAGAGCAACTGAATAGTATTTAAATGGAGAAAGACTTCTAAAAGCTACAAAACAGAGGGATTTAGAAATCCTCGTGCATTAGTCACAAAAAAGCTAACATCCAAGTTCAGTGAATAATAGGGAAAGCAAATAGAAAGTTGGTCTTTATTTCAAAGGGAACGGAGCATAAAATTAAGGAGGGTTCTTAAAAATATACAAGATACTGGTGAAACTGGAGCTAGAATACTGTGAACCCACACTGGATCCCTTATGTAGGAAAGTATATACTGGCACTGGAGGCAGTCCGGAAGAGGTTCACTAAACTAATACCAAGTATTGAGGGATTGTCTTTGAGGAGAGGTTGAGTAGATTGGGCCTATACCCATTGGAATATAGAAGAATGAGAAACAACATTACTGAAACATACAAGATTCTTTGGATACTTGAGAGGTTAGAGGTGACAAGGTGGTTTCCCCTTGTGGGAGAGCTTGGACCAAAGGGCAAAATCTCACAATAAGGCATCAAACATTTAATAAAGAGATGAGGAGGGATTTCTTCTATGAGGGTAGCAAATCTGTGAAAATCTTTACTGTAGAGTACTGTCGACGCTGGGTTGTTAAGTATATTCCAGGCTGAGATAAACACATTTTTTAAGCGATTCAAGGGTTATAGGGAAAAGGCAGGTAAGTGGAGTTGAGGATTAACAGATTAGCCATGATCTCACTGAATGGTAAAGTGTGCTGATTATGTTTGATTCATTAAGCTTTGCTAAATATCCTGTTACTTGTATCTTAAGAGATTCTGGCATTTTCCCAATGATGGATGCTAGGCTAATTAGTTTCCAGTTTTCTGTGTTCATCCCTACTTAAATAGGGGTATCACATCAGTGTTTACCAATCCGCTGGAATTCTTCTGGAATCCAGTGAGTTCTGGAAAATTTTGACCAATGCCTCCATTATTTCTGCAGCCACTTCCCTTAAACTCTTGGATGCAGACTGTTAGGTCCTGGCAACCTGTTTATCTTTAGTTCCATTAAGTTTCAAATACTTTTGTGCCTTGTGATAGAGATTGTTACAAAATCTTTCATCCTGTTAGCACATTACTTGTCTGTTATCTTTGGGATGTTTACAGCACCCCCCAACTTTGAAAAGTGATGTAAAATGTTGGTTTAGATTACCTGTTATTTTTCTGTTCTCAATTAATTCCCCAGTTGCATCCTGCAAGGGTCCTACATTTACTTTAGCTATTCTCTTTTTTTATACCAGTAGAAGCTCTTGCTATTTGTTTTTATATTTCTTGCTAATATATTTTCATAATCAATTTTAATCCTCTTTATTAGCATTGTAGTTCTGGCTCCTAAAATAATTCCCAGTCATCTGGCCTACCACTAGTTTTTACTGCTTTGTTGCTTTAGTTTTTGATTGAACATTTTCTTCGACTGCCTTCAAATACCACGGCTGGTTCAAGGTTCTCATAGAATCCTTTTCTTTGACCAGAACATATTTTTGATGCGCGTTGTGAAATATCTGCTTAAACATTTGCCACGGCTCTCCCACGGACTTCCCCCGAGGTCTATTTTCTCAGCTAGCTTTGGACAACTCTTTCTTCATACCTCTGTAATTGGTCTTATATACACACTGAGGAGATTAGTTTGAGACCTGAGTTGCTCTCGCTCAAACTAAATTTGAAATGCTACCAACTACTCTCTAGAAAATCCTTAACTGGGAAATAGTTTATTAGTTTACTAATTTCTAATTATACATGACTTGATCCTGTTCCTGGGTAGTTTCTACAATGTATTGGTCTAAGAAATTACTTGATGCAAACTACAAATCCATTTTTCATGTTACCTTTTGCCATCTAATTTGTCCTTTGAATATGCAAATTAAAATCAACCACGACAATTGTATTGCCCTGATTAGATACCACAATTCGTTCTGATTTACATTTTGTCTTACAGGCAGGTAACTCTTTAAGGGCCAATAGACAACTCCCACTTGTAACTGCTTTCCTTTGCTATACCTTGTTCCCATCAAAACTCTTTCCACCATCTTTCGCACTCGCCTCACTACCGCACTGACATTTTCTTTTATCAACAAAGCTATCCCAGCTGCTCTCTCATTTCTTTTTGATTTTTTAAACTTGCCTTCAATAGAACTGTTAGCATGGTTCAAATGAAGCCTGTCCCAATTGAACAGCTCTCTCTTTTCCCAGTACTGGTATCAGTATCTCAATTAAAATCTATTTCTCCCACACTATTTACCTCTCAAATGTCATTCGCTCTATGTCAATTGCAGATGGCTCATGCAGTAATCTGAAGATTATTTACCTTTCCAGTTCGGCTTTTCAATTTATCCCTGAGTTGCTCGTAAACCCTCAGTCAAACCTCTTTCCTAGCCCTACTTAGTGGGTACCTATGTGGACCACAACAAATGGATCCTTCCCCTCTTACTCCAAATTACTCTGCAGACCTGAAGACATTTCCTGAATCTTGGCACCCAGGTAGGCAATGCAGCCTTCAGGACTCCCTTTGCTGCAGAGAACAGTATCTCCTTCCCCTAACTCTGCTATCCACAATTACAACATTTCTCCTTTCTTCCACTTCACTTGAATGATGCTCTGGACCACAGCTCTGTGGTCTGTTCACTTACTTCCATGGAGTCTGTGCTGTTACCACACTGGAAAAAAGTAGTTCAGACCTACTGTACAAGGGCACCAGCTGAGACTTCTACAAAGCTAAATTCTGGATTCCTGTGTCTACCTTACTCACAGTCATATTGTCGTCTTCCTGATCTTGGACCGAATTTGAGGCAATTAATCTAAGCCATGTCACTGCCTCCTGTAACAGTATCCATTTACTTCTCCCTTTTCCTGATGTGTTGCAGTGTCCACAGCTCGGATCCAGCTCATCAGCTCCAAGCTGAAGTTCCTCAAGCAGCCAACGTTTGCATGGTGTGGTCACTGTAGATTGCATCAGCATCCACCAGCTCCAACATTTAGAGTTGCAACACATTACTTGCCCACCTATCTCTATGCTATTCAATCAATTATACTGGATGTTGAATTTTTAAAAGTGAATTTCTCAACCGTGCTCGTCAGCTGCAATAATGTTTCCTGACTTAAAACGTTTAGCCAAAAGAGGCACAGATGAAATACCCACCAATTACCTTCCTGTTTTCATATGATATCACAATTCAGCTCTAACACGTCGGAACAGGTTGAGAAGGCTCTGCGTTGCTGATTTATATTTCCTGCCACTGCTGTCCTTCCTATACAAGTCCACTCTTCTCTTCACAAAGCTGCTGTTTTCATGCTCTTTCACACTAGTTGAGAAGCTGCTGATGCCATGCTTTCTCCTGATCTTGATGAAGTTGATGTCTCTGCTCTGTCATGCTCTTTATGAAGCAATTGTTCCTGCTCTCTGTTGCACAGTTAAGCAGCACAGGCTCCTCCTCTGTCTCTTTTAGCTGTTGGTGACTATCCAGGTTCTCCTTACTTCAACTGATTTAAATGCTGGTGGCTGTCTCCGGTTCTCCTCTGACCTGCTACAAACAGGTAGTGAAGTTATGAAGAAATATGGCCAGGAGCAGGCAGGTGGGATTAGTTTAGTTTGGGATTATGTTTGGCATGGACTGGTTGGACCGAACAGTCTGTTTCCGTGCTGTATGACTCTATGCGTCTGTGAAGTTAGAGTCACTCAACTGGATTCACTGATAGTTCTCAGTGCAGAGATCTCTTAATTTGATAACTACAGCAAGCTTTTCATGATCCTTAAGCTTTTCCTTTATTTGTTCATTGATGTAGGCATTGCTAACACGGTTAACATTTGTTGGCCATCTCCGATTGCGCTTTAGATGATGTGGTAACCTTGAACCACAGGTGGTCATTTGGTGCAGATACATGCAAGAGTGCTGTTAGGATGACTTTCAGGATTTTGATTTAACACACAGTGATGGAACATCAACATAGTTCCGAGTCAAGGCGGCGTGTGACTTGGAGGCGAGCTCGCAGGTGGTGTTCTCTTGCATCTAATGTGCTCGTCCTTCTAGGTATAAATTCTGTAGGTTAAGAAGGTGTAGTCAAGGGAGATTTAGCAACATTGCTGCAATAAACTTTGTAGAAGCTATACATGATAGTGAGTTCGTTGTGGAAGAAGTAAATGTTTTAAGTTGGTACTGATCAACCAGACTATGTTGTCCTGGATGCTATCAAGTTTCTTGAGCATTGTTGATGTTGCACTCATCCAGATAAGTGGTTTCAATTTTAGTTGCATCAACAGCTTTGCATCACACCTTGTGATAGTTTGAGAAGAATCAATGATGAATCACCTGCTTTACAACCTTCATTAAAAAAATGCTTGTAAAAGGTTGAAAAAATTCTAAGAATTTAAAACACTTTATTTTCAAAGTAGTTCAAAGTGGTTTTCAAGACAAAGCATTTATGGATTTCTGCTTTTGCGCTTGAAGGTGTTCTGATCATTTATCCTCTCATCTTTTGCATTAATTCAGTTACTCCAAGGTTTAATCAATTTCCCTATCTGTTTTTCATCTATATAAATGGCTACCTCCACTTACTGGTCAATCTACTTGCTTCTGTCATTCTCCAGTTTGTCAACTACACCATGTGCTCCTTTTAACTATGCCAAGACAGCTTCTTCATCACTTCAAGTCCAAAATGCTATTTTTCATCATTGATGGTTCCTCTTACTGACAATTGCAATTTATTTCCCATCTTGTATTTTCTTATAGTGACACAAAATTGAAAAACAAAAATTCAATACAAATTTCCTACTTATCTCCCATTGTCCATTATTAATAAACAGCTTGCTGTTCACCGTACAAGTGTTTCCACAGTAGCCAACACACTTACCATTTTCCATCCGTGTGTTCACAAATACTCTCAACGTCAGAACTGCCTGCGTCTGCATCTCTTTTTCTAGACTGCACCACTTTGGTTGCTGCCTGAAAATAAAATGTGACTAGCTACATTATTAGTCACTCCAGCAAAGTTATATGCCTGCAATGGACATATCTTCTAGTCTGGTATGTTGAAAAATATTCAAAACTTATCTCTCATTTTCTTAAAAAACATTTTTGTTTTATAAAAAGAATTTCAACTATTGTTTAATATTTAACTTGAAAGTCTATTCACAGCCATATCCTTGTTTGCTTTAAGAAGAAAATCAGAAAATGTGGCAAGACTGGCTTGGTTTCCTGGAGCTGTTAATAGTCATTATGAGATAGTCGAACACTAGAAAGTGCAAAATAGGCTGAAGTTCAACTTGAAATGGTGGCAATTCAAAATAGAAGGTGACAATGAATCAGAAATTGATCAAAGTGAAAAAGCAAAATGTATGTTTAGACCACAGAATGTGGGAGAAGTAGCCTATTCAGCCCATTGAGTTCATTCTGCCACTCAATGAGACCATGGCTGATCCAATAGTCCTCAACTCTACTTTCCTGCCTTATTTCACAAACCTTAACTCCCCTAATGATTAAAAATCTATCAGTCTTGAATATACTTAACAATCTAGCCTCGACAGCCCTCTGCTATAAAGAATTCTACAGGTTCACTATCCTCAGAGAAGAAATTCCTTTTTATTTCTGTCTGAAGTGGGCACCACCTGAGATTCTGCCTCTGGCCCTAAACTGTCCCATAAGCAGAAATAACTTCTTTGCATCTAATCCATCAAGCCCCCTAAGAAACTTAAATGTTTCAATAAGGTCTCGTCTCATTCTTCTAAACTTCAATGAGTCCAGCACATTCAACCTTTTCTCACAAGAAAATCCCTCAATACTCGGGGTCAACCAAGTGAATCTTCTCTGGGCTGCGTCTAACACCAGTATAACTTTCCATAGATAAGGGGACCAGAACTGTTCACAGAATTCCAGCTGTAGTCTAACCAGTGCATTGAACTGTTTTAGCAAAACTGTTTTCATTTTTATTAAAACTCTGTTTTTAAACTCCACTCATTTGCCATTCCCAATTACCCAACAAACATGCATGCTTGCTTTTTGTAATTCATGTATCAAGACCCCCTAAATACCTGCGCTGCAGCTTTCTGCAGTCTTTTCCCATTTAAATAATATTCAGCTCATCTTTTGTTCCTGTCAAACTGCATAACCTCACACATTTCATACATTATATTTCCGCTGCTAAGTTTTTGTCTACTCACTTACTTAAGCAGCTGTTTTATTTTTAACTTGGTCACAGCAACTCTTCGACCAAATATTTAAAGCACCACCTGCCTCACATGCGGCAGAGAGTGCACATCTTGCACTTGACTTTCAGCCATCTCAGAACCCATTGAATCAGAGAGAAAGCAAGTCATCCGCTATTCGGAGGATCTCTCGAAGAGTCTTCAATTATTTCAAAGGAATTATCCCCGAGTAGTGAGGCAACAAGAAAAAAACCTAGTTGATGCAAATAACACTTACTTGGACTAGAAACTGTGACTTTTCCTTAATTAGTAGTTTGTTTGCAAGTGATGCAGCTACATCCACTAATCGTTCATTATCGAATTTGTTGAGGAATTTATGGTTCAGATCTTTCTTACTGATAACTGAAGATAAAGTCCTTTTTAAAGGCTGGAAAACAAAGTAAGCAAAATGATAAGTAATAGTCTAATAATTTAGTCTCAGAGATCAATAAAACTAAACTACCAGATTGTGACATTTAATAGAAATTCTGCTACTGAAAGCAGGAGGCTCATTGTGACATCTTAAAATACCACAGAATTAAAACAGAATTACCTGATCTGAATCCAAGTTTTCTTGAAATTCTCGTTCCAGAACTTCAGAAGCTCTCTTGAAATCTCCCTTTTCCATACAGACTGCTACACTCTACAAATCAAAAGTAAGAAGACAGCTTTTAAAGTTGATTCAAATAAAAGCACAGGATTTTTGGATGTCACTGATCATGGGTAGTAACTGCTGATTGGGGGAATTATACACAGAGGATTAACCGGTGTGCCAGGAAACTTGAAAATCAAAGACCTATGGATGCTGGAAATCAGAAACAAAAACAGAAATTGCTGGAAGAACTCAGCAAGTCTGGCAGCATCTGTGGATAGAAAGCAGAGTTAAGGTTTTGGGTCCAGTGAACCTTCTTCAGAACTGACTGTAGCTATGAAAAAGTTGATGTATATGCTAAACATGGGGTGGGGAACAGGGATAAACGATAGGTAGAGACGGAACCCAGAGCGAGAGAGTGCGTGAGAACGAGAGAGTGCGTGACAGCGAGAGAGTGCGTGAGAGCGAGAGAGTGCGTGAGAGCGAGAGAGAGTGCGTGACAGCGAGAGAGAGTGCGTGACAGCGAGAGAGAGTGCGTGACAGCGAGAGAGAGTGCGTGACAGCGAGAGAGAGTGCATGACAGCGAGAGAGTGCGTGACAGCGAGAGAGTGCGTGACAGCGAGAGAGGAAAACAGTTGGGCAGACAGAGGAATGAGTAAAGGTCAGCTTGTGAGAATGAACAGCTGTTAAGAGAGACCATTAGTGGCTGACAATGGGTTATTTGTGGTAGCAGCCCATATGGTGACAAAGCCTGGTGTGTGGGGGTTGGGGGTAAGGACATGGGAAGGTGTTCATGCCCTAAAACTGTTGAACTTGATATTGAGTCCAGAAGGGTTCCTAGGCAGAAAATGAGATGCTGTTCTTCCAGCTTGTGTTGAGCTTTGCTGGAGTACTGCAGCAAGCCCAAGATATAGATGTTGGCCTGGAAACATTGTGGTGTGTTGAAATGGCAGGCAACTAGAAGCTCAGGTTTATTTTCACAGACAGAACGTAGGTGTGTTCTGCAAAGCGGTCACCCAGTCTGCACTTTGTCTCCCCAATGTCCTCACACCCTGCTTCCTGTAAAGACTTCCTCTTAATGCCTCAGTTTCTGTCGCATCTGTTCCAATGATGCCAGCTTCGACAAGGGGGCCTCTGAAATGACCACCTACTTCCCCTCAACCGAGGATTCCCCACCACCGTGGTTGATAGAGCCCTCCGTCGTGTCCGACCCATCTCCTGCACTTCAGCCCTCATTTCCATAACAGCGATAGTGTCCCCCTAGTCGTCAGCTACCATCCCACCAGCATCCACATCCAAAGGATCATGAGCCGCCATTTCCACCACTTACAGTGAGATGCCACCACCAGATACATATTCCTCTCCCCTCGTTTGTCAGACTTCCTCACGGACTGTTTCCTCCAGGACACATTGGTCCACTCCTCCTCCACTCCTAAATCTCCCCACAGCCGCGTGCATCTTCTCTTTCAATTGCAGAAGGTGTAACACCAGCCCGCTTACTTCCTTTCTCCTCTCTATCCAAGGCACCAGGCACACCTTCCAGGTGAAGCAGCAACTGACCTGCACTTCACTCAATCTAGTCTACTATATTTGCTGTTGATGATCTGGTCTCAAGGGAACCATTCATTTTCTCATTAACTACGCTTTTATTAAGGTTCTTGAGTAGATTTGTAGTTCTGGTTACGGATGCCGTGGTTGGTTTGCTCACTGAGCTGGTTCGTTAGTTTGCAGATGTTTCATTACCCTGCTGGGTAACATCACCACTGCAGCCTCTGATAAAGCGTTGTTGTGTTTTCCCACTTGTTATTTAAACTATAGTTCCCTTCAAAAATGCTAACAGTAATATTCAAAGCAGGTTTGTCCAACTTTTACTGGTGAGGGTCAAATTTCAAGCTTTTTTTCCATTTAATGGACTGATAAGCAAATTTTGGAAAGATAACTTTTACGACAATATTAAACATGAGTTTCAAAGTAAAAGTGGAGGTTTAAAGAAACCATACATTTCTTGGATAAAAATGTCAAAGCAATAAATTTGTGAATAAAGAAATGAATAATTAATAAATATGACCATTAAAGTGCTAACTAGCAGAGCTAACAGTCAAAACATCCTTTTTCCCTTTCCATTTAAGAAGCAGAGTTCAAGGGGCACAGACTAGGCCCAAGTCTTGATTACAAGGGAACAAGGAGAGACTGGAGATGTTTGAAAGAGTTGGATTTAACTAATCCTGACTTTGTGTTCACATCTGGTAGTGCACACTTAAGCTGGTGGAATTTGTACAAGAACTGGGTTGGGCGGGGGGGGGAATAAGTTGGAAATAAGGTGTCTTTCAGTTTTGAAATTAGTCTTCTCCTGTCTTTGTACGGAGAGGATTTAGGGAAGGGAGCAGGAGAACTAAATAAGAATATATAAATTAACTATTAAGAACTAGAATCAGGAGTAGGAAATTCAGCCCCTAGAGCCTGCTCTGCCATTTATTACAAACATGGCTGATCATATTCCAACCTCAAGTCTACTTTCCTACCTGCTCTCCACAACCCTTCAACCCATTACTAATTAAAAATCTGTCTATCCCCTCCTTAAATTTCCTCAATATCCCAGTATTCACTGCACACTTGAGTAGTGAATTCACGACCCTTTCAGAGAAGTAATTTCTCCTCACCTGTTTTAAATCTGCAACTGCTCATCCTAAAAGCAATTTTGGAAGTGATTTTGGTGTGTTCAACTTTCTCTCACATGCATGCAATCATACACTCTCAGTCACTCTCATACTCCATGCCCAAGCAGACCCCTTGTTATAGCCAAACACACAAACAGCCTCATACACTCACATGGTCTCATACACAATGTCACTCACACGTTCATTAAAACACCCAACCCATGGACTCAGAGAGGCTGCTCTGTTCTTCCCGAGTGCAATCCTTCAGGTGTCTGGCACCTGTGTGTGAGGGCAAGCACCTTGTCTTCTTTTTCCAATGCTTTTTCAATGTATGTCCTTCAAATTCCTTGCATCACACCCCTCCCAACTTACATCTGTGCTTCTGTTAAAAACTGAAAGAACTGCAGATGCTGTAAATCAGAAACAAACAAGAGGAATCGCTGGAAAAGCTCAGCAGGTCTGGCAGCATCTCGGAGAGAAATCAGAGTTAATGTTTCGGATCTGGTAACCCTTCTTCAGAAGTTCTGAGGAAGGATCACCAAACCCGAAACGTTAACTCTGATTTCTCTCCGCAGATGCTGCCAGACCTGTTGAGCTTTTCCCACAATTTCTGTTTTTGTTTCTGTGCTTCTGTTCTCCACAAACTGAAATCCATTATCTTTCCCTGCTTGCTGCCCATGCAACCACAGGCTACTTTCTTCCTAAGAGTTTCCCAACTGGCTCTACTTGCATCAAAAGCTAATGGCAAACAGTCTATTCTTCAAACAGCCACCAGGTACAGTTTTCTTTAACCAGAAAATCAAAATGGTTTTATCAACAACACCCTGCATAATAGTCACGACTTAAGCCACAAAACTAACCTGAACTTGAAGCAACTGCTTGAGGTCTGAATATAATGCATCTTTCTTTAGCTGCTTGTCATCTGCCATTTCGATCAATACCAATAATGCAGATTCCAACGGAGTTATTGATTCATCTTGGTCAAATTGGACATCTGAAGTGCAAAATTTAAAAAGAAACGCTGGTTTATGAAAAGCTGATATGTGAACAGCAATACCTTTAAGTTATCAAACAAAATTCATGCTTTAAGTTGCTATCACAGATTTTTCTAACAATATAACAATGTAACATTAAACAGCATTAAACTGTAAATCGCTCAGCAACTTGTGGTGAGGAGACATAGGATGTCGATTGAAAATTGCATCACTGTGACATCATTAGCCTTGCAAAAAAATGGTAGCTTTGGTTGAACAGGCATTTGCAATTTTACTATTGCCAGTTAAGATCTTGAACTGACTTTGAAATGTAAACGTTTACTTCAACAACATACACAGTAACTTGACAACACTTCTTCAATAGATCTTCCAAACCTATCACCTCAACGAGGTAGCAATCTAGTCTATTCTAGTCCAGATGCAGTTGAAGACTTGGACAGAAGCTGTACACGTGTAGAAGAGGAGGCTTTCTGATCAGGAGTCACTTAGCAAATGTGCAATAAACTCCATATTCAAACTGGGGAGTCTATAACTGTGATGTGCTTAACAAGTGCTGGAGGACAATTATGACGTACTCAACAAGTGTTGGAGGGTTACCTGGACAAATGCCAGCAGGGGGAACCCTTGAAATCTCATACTTGGGAAAATAATGGTAAAATGATGAGAAATAATGCTGTGGAACACTTTGGTTTGTGCAAGAAGTAGTGAAGAAACATTCAAGATTCTGTAAAGGACAAGAGACCTCTTAGATGGAAATAAAAGTAGAATGAGGAGTATTCTGTTGAGACATCCAGGCTAAAAAAAAGTGCTTATGAAATACATGAAAAATTTGAGACATAATTCTTTCAGTTTTTAATTAGGAGATTGACTTTCTTTTTTAAAAGTTACTACTACAAGACCATAACACATTTCTAGCTCAGATGGTACGCGACTTGAAGATGATAGGGGTTAGTGGTTTTATATGTCTTGCCATTCTCGGTTGTTGAGGTCACAGGTTTAGAAGACGCTAATGTAGTGTAAGTTTCCACAGTATATTTTTTAAAATATTATACACTGCTGTCCCAGTACTGCACAGTTGGTGGAGGGATTGACTATTTAAGGTAATGGATGCAGTGTCAATCAAGCAGGCTGTTTTGCTCTGAATATCAGTACACTTCAAGTGAAACAGCTTGAAGTTAAAACTGCTTCAGCATTACATCAAAGCAGTCAGAAATTAAATCAGAATTTACAAATAAGATTGTGAACAATAATTTTATGTTCTATCTGGACTTTCATGTTTGTGAATGAAATAGATTATATTTAGATAACTTACTATCATATCTGTTGGAGAACTGAACTTCAACATTTGCCAACTATGATCCATAAATGGTTAAAACCCATGATATTCATTTACAAGAATCCTTACAAAGTTAATAAGATTGTATCTCATCTTTACAATATCCACTTTTTACTTCAAACCATTTTATAACCAACAAAATATCTGAAACTCCTGATGTTCCACATCATTAAAATTTGTTGCTGTGGTTTGTTTACAACATTTTTGTCCGACATTAATACAGTAATTTAAGATTTCAACTTTATTTTGGAATAATCCAGAGATGCATGCCTGGCACTTGCCTGTAGATATACATAACATTTGTAAGAGACTACATTTTCATTTTTAGACAATGGACTCTGCTTTAAAAAGGGGAGAATGTTACAAGGAGTGGTTCGCAGATTTGGGAAAACAATTGTAGTTAACTAATGCATATGAAACAATGCTAGTTTTTGGGCTCATGCCAGTCCAGACAAATTTTTGCCATTTATTATGGGTTCAGGACAGCTCAGCATAGATTGAAAGAATCAGCAATAACTCTGTCTGGAATAAACTGTTAAGGGACAAGGGCAGACTTATACAGGAACTGAAAACAATTCACTACGCCTGGGAGAAGAAAGCTACATTAACAAAAATGTTTTAACAACTGCTTGATAACTGGCTGCCTTATCCCACAAGCGCAAATCATTGCCTATCAGAAGAACTTAAGGAGTTAGTCACATGAAAGCTGTGTCTTTAACAAACAAGCCAAGGTCAAATGTAAAAAGGAATAAGAGGATACTTCTGATAAGACTTGATGGTTCCAGATGAGTCGTCAATATTTTGGATGAAAGAATCTAACAGATCATTAATAATGTGACACTACAAACTTGAAGGACAGAAAATTGTACAAGAATTCAACTCCAGGATTCCTTAGGGTAGAACCCTTGACATCAAGAGACAGATACCATTGGCTGTAATTGTAGCTAAATTTCATCATTAATCAGGTAATAGTCAAGTTGGGTTGTGAGGCTCAACTTGCTGGCTTCAGGGGTCTTATTTTGGTTACTACATGCAATAAAGTTTAAATAGTTGTTTCAGTATTTGATTGTGAGATTTCTTAATAAGTAGCTGAATTAAAGGTAGGTTGTGGTAATTTACACACAACAATTGGGTGATAATAAACTGTATAATAGAACAAATTAATTACCAAGATTCTTCCCTTCAACAATTCGGGATAGGATTTGGCAGATATGCACCTTCTTTGTCTGAATTGACTCTGTGATGGATGGGTGCTGAAGTAAACCTAGAAGACAAACACATTTTTGTCATAATTGCTGCATTATGTAACATGCCTAGCACAGTATATTCATTACAAAAGATTTTTTTTCTAAAGGCAGTTTTAAAACAGTCAAACTGGAGGTGTATTGTTTCACTATTGCGCATTTTTCCAGGATGAAGTCCACATAATGGACTTGGAGAAAGATCACACGTGCTCAGCCAGCATTGCAAATGTTTAAGGAGCTACAGGGTGAGGGGCTACTGAGGTGAGCAAGATCAAGGAAATGGATGCAGAGGTGGGCAAGAGAATTCCTTTGAAGGGAAAAATAAATATTAACAAAAATTAAAGGGGAACCCAGAGAAGAACTCAGTCAAGTTTGGCAGAACATGACTATAATTTTGTCAGAAGCAAAATAAAAGGAAAGGGCTTCAAAATGATGAAATGCAACAGCAGTAGGGAGGGAGGGCAAGGTCAGACATGACAAGATGCAGAAATTTAGAGAAGACAAGCAATAAAGTAAGCAGACAAGACTGGCAATTGGACAATCATTGCCAGCTCAAAATCTGGATTCTGCTTGTGCTAGGATATTGATAGACTCATACGCAATAAAGTGTGATTTGGGAGTGTCTTGCTCACAATTGATTGAAATGGCTGAAAGATTACAGGACTGTCTTTCATAATTTACAGGCAGGATTATAAAATGCAGAACATCTGAAGAGATTAGCGACATACAGTGAGGGGGGAGAGGTTAATTCTGGATAGCAAGTTGGTTAAAAGAATGCTACACCTAGGGTTACGTCTCCAGATGTCATATCAATAAGGACTGTGATGGATATGGCGCAGAATATCAAATGGAAAACAGACAGAAGCCATAGGCACAAACAACAAAATGGGTTGGATGATAAATGCAGATAGAACGAATATGATTCCACACTTTGTCTTTTAACCTTGGATAGTGTTGAACAGACCTTGACAATCACCCTGATGTCTTAATAACCATGTAGAGTCATTAGCGACTACAAACTTAGACTCTCAAAATAGACACACACAGGTTGAACTCCCGACCATCAGAAAAACAAAAATAACCTCATCTGTTTTAAATGGAAGACCCTCAATTCTTAAACAGTGACCCTCTAGTTCTAGATTCTCCCATGTGAGGAAACATCATCTCCACATCTACCAAGCCAAGATTCTTCAGGATCTTAAATGTTTTAATCAAGTCATCTCTTACGCTTCTAAACTCTAGGAGATACAACCCTAGCCGTCCAAACTTTCTTCATAAGATAACCAAGTCATTTCAGGTATTAGTCAGGTAAATCTTTTCTGAACTGCTTCCAACACATTTATATACAGCAAACTTTGTTTTAATTGGCACCTTATGAACAGGCACACTTGATGAACCTATATGATGAATTTGATGAAATTATATACATCAAACACCCCAAAATTTACAGTATTCTGTCCAATTATTACTGTTTTTTAAAAATTTATTTACCTCAATGTGAATATAGGTGCCGCTCAATTGAATGGTTCCATAACATCAACAGTTGACTCAATTTTGAGTCAATTTCTCCTCAAACACCACGATGTACTGCGATGTCCGAGTAGTCAGTTGAGGGTGCGAGTGTGAAGGCTCTCTGACGGTAAGTTTTATTTAAGGTAAAGTTGCACTATTATTTAAGTGATTTATGCTGTAAATAAAGTATAAGAGTGATGTGTATATGCCCTAAATTATTACTTGCTTCTATTACAGCGAACTTTTTATTAACTGGCATTTGTGGGACCAGGAGTGTGCTGGTTGATCAAATATGCCATTTGATCAAGAGGTTCCCATAATCAATGTAAAAACACTAAGTAAGAGAAACATAACAGCAACAGGCATGGTGACCCTCCGGTTAAACCACCACCAATCGTCTCTCTTTAATGATCTGGTAAGCTTACGGCGACTTTACCTTTACGGCTGCAGTAATGTTTCCTTACTCTCATATTCCATTCACTTTGCAATAAACGCCAACATTCAATTTGCTTTCTTAATCACTTGTAACTACAAAATAACTTCATGATTCACGTACCAGGACAGCCAGATCCCTCTGAAACTCAAGAGTTTTACTAATCTCTCAATCTAATAATTTATATATTGGACAAATTGGGCAAGTTCACATTCTCAAACATTACATGCCATTTGCCAAATTTAACTCATCCACTTCACTGACCTACATTCTTTTGCAGACTCTACATCTCCTTGACAACTTCCTTTTTTATCTATATCATGGCAAATTTAGTGGCCAAACGTTCAGTCCCCTTATCCAAATCATTCATATAGATTGCAAATAGTTAACAACCAGGTCCATGATCCTTGCTGCACTTCAATGATAACCTGAAAATGATCTCTGACTCTCTGCTTCCTGTTGGCTAACCATTCCTTTACTCCTGCTAATGTATTACCACTTACAGCATGTGTTCTTATCTTGTGTGGTACCTTAATGTGGCACATTATTAAATGCCTTTTGGAAATCAAGTACAATATATCCATCTGTTCAATGCACCTTGCGTGTTAATTTCAAAAATGACTGTAGTAAGTGAATTTAGCTCAATTTCCCTTTCACAATGCAGTATTTACTCTGATCCCATTATGATTTTCTAAATGCCATCCTAATATTTCCTTAATAGTGGATTCTGGCAATTTTCCTATGACAGATATTAGATTAACTTAAAATCTCCTGTTTTTAGCCCCACACACTTTTATAGAAGAAAAGAGATCTTTAGCCATTTTCCAATCCGGTAGCATCCTTCTAGAATACATATAAGCTTACAAAATTCCTCTATATGCAGCCATTTTTTTTAGGATGCAAACTATCTAACCCTGTGGATGTGTTTAGCACAGATAAAGTAGATTTCTGATAGAGTCATTCTTTCTCAATGGAATAAATCTTTGCTGAAGATTGTTAAATTTCTTTGTGAATATTTTTACTACATCTCTACTGTTCTACTTTTTAAACCCAATTTCCCAATTCACATAAGCAACTGTGTTTCACATTATTATAGTTACCATTATTTGGTTTAAAGCACTATGTAGAACCCAACTTCTCCCCTTAAAACTGAGGTAGGATTTTGCCATATTATGATTGCTGTTGCCAAAAGGTTACTTTACTATTCAGTTACTGATTAATATTGTCACGTTGCATGGTTGGCTCTTGAACATATTATTCTAAAGGAACAGTGCCTGACAACTAATTTTCAAAGCTACCTTTACAATGTTGGTTTGGCTAATCTGCATGCAGACTAAAGTCACATGTAATTATTGTGCTACATTTCTGAGAAATCCTAATTTTTTTTCCTATTGTTTCAACAAAGCCAGTGTGCTCCTGGCCACTCTTCCACTCCCTAACCCTGATCAGTTATCTGTACCCTCACTCCTCAGGCACTCATTTGTGCCACGTCACTCATTCACGCCTTCTCTCTCTTCACAGGGTCACACCTTACTGTTGCAGCACACTGGAAATCAAGCCCTGCTATTGGAGGCATGACAAAAGTTAAAGATTTTATAAAAGTGGGTAAAACTTTCCAATTTACCTGCCTTTTAAAACTAGGTTTTCATAAAGTTCAGACCAGGGTTCTGTAATTAACGAGGATTACTACTTATTACAAGTAAACGGATCCTAGCTACAGATAAACAATGACGAATAACTGATGACGAATAACTGTACAAATTAAAACTCTAACTCCTCTATAAAACTCCGCCTAAATACACACACGGAAAAACACACTGATGTTACGGGTAGAGGGAAAATCATGGAAGGGAGTTTAGTCCTTGCTGTTCAGCGAACTCTCTCTTCTCCAGGTATTTTCATATGCTGTAGAAGGCACAGAGGAACTGGCTCATAACTTACAAAGTCTTTCAGCAAATGAGATGAAATAAACTGACTTTTTGCAGGCTTCAGGTTTTTTTTATCATGTTCAGAAAAGGACACTACCTTCCTTACCAGAGATGCAATTGCTTCTTGCTGCCTCGTTCACATGCACAGGTTGTTCAGCTATGAGGAAGCCAATCATATTGCTGTTGATGGGCAGAAAATCTTTGTCATCGACAACTCATCATCATACCACAGCCCAATCATTGACTTCATTATACACACTCCCTGGTTCCAGAATATCTGTAGTAACCTACCTCACTGTTTGAACAAACAACAATGTAAACAGGCTTTACAATAAGTGCTGGTTGTTTAATTATAGCAATTCCCTTCCACAATCCTTGATTTCAAAACCAGTTCTTTTCCCATTTCAGTCCACAATAAGAAATACAGAAAAATAAAACTCTATTGGCTTTACAAATGGTTGCTCATTCATGCACTTCCTAACATATTCCCTACCCAGTCGCTCATCTGTGTCTTCTCTCATGTACTCTTACCCTAACCCTAGTTAAACATCCATGCCCAATCTTCCTCCTACTCCCTCACCGCCACTACCCCCCCCCATCACATTCATGCCTTCCCTCCTATTCCAGTCACTCATTTGTGTGCACCTTCCCTTCTACCCTCTGCAGTCACTCTTCCATTTCTGTTTTCATATCCTCCCTTCCTGGTCACACATTGGTGCCCTCCCAGGAATCTACCAGCCTAGTCACACACACATGCCTACCTTCCTCTCTGGTCACACATCCTTACCCAAGTCACTCATTAATACCCTCCCCGCCCCGTCTGCGGTTACTCATCCATGACATACCTACTTCCCCAGCCACTCATCCATCCCCTCCCTCCACAATCATTCACCATGTCAGTTCTTATGAAGCCCTTTTGTGGTCACTCATCTCTGCCCTCCCTCCTTTTGCGGTCACTCATCTGTGTCCTCCCTTTGTCTCACTGTGTCTCACCTGTGCCCCACCTACTCTCCCTCCCTGGTCACTCAGCCATCTCCTCTGACGTTCCTTCTCGGTGTCCTGCCCATGCCCTGCCTGCGATTGGACAAGGCAAAGTTATCCTAGAACCAACGTTTCAGATCCAAGCCCTGCAGCCTATCTGGTGGTT